GCAGTGCAATTACAGTCTAGATATCATGGTTACATCTATATTTTAATTTATTTTTGCAGATAGAAGTGGGTTCCTACTGGTTCACACCGATTCAAGTGAACCGGTAGTGGATTTTGCGACTGGGTCGCCGAACTGGTAGGGATGGACGGCTGGCCACGCCCCTGAACCGGTTCACTTGGTTGCCCATGCCGTTGCTTGTTACTCCTTTTTTAATGTTCTGTGAATGCGTAGAGCAATTTTTTGGCAACTGCACACGTGCGTACATGTGCGCGAGAGCAAAGAGAGCACACGTGCAAAACGGCGCGTACAGCGAACCAGCAGTAATGCCAGCAGCAACCAACCCCTGTTGTAGATGATAGATAGATGATAGGCAGACAGACAGACAGACAGACAGACAGGAAAATCACAGAAACATCCGTCTACAGTATATAGTCTTAAATGCGTGTTGCTTAATGAATTTATTTAAGAATACTATTTACAAAATATTAGATTAGAAAAAGAATGGGAGATGTATTTTATTGAACAATATATAGATATCTATTCAACCCTTTTAATACATATGCACCACTTACAATATTTAAACTCAGTACATATTGATTGATGCAAGAGTACCATTATATAAAATATATATACTATGACAAGGTTGTTGGAGAATGTCCAAAATTCTAAAAACTTATTCTAGATCCATGACGGTAAACCTATGGCACGTGTGCCATAGGTGGCATGCAGAGCCCTCTCTGCGGGCACACAATCCATCATTCCAGCTCAGTTGCACCACACATGCATGCGCACCCCCCCCCACCAGCCGGCTGGTTTTCGGATCTCTGTTGAGCATGCATGGACGGCATGCAGGAGACATGCACGCATGCATGGGGGGAGCATGGGGGGTCACAGGGGATCGAGCATGCATGTGCAATGGGCAGGGCACAGGGGAAGGGGTCAGGGGGTCACACGCACATTATGGTCGCACACACGTGCTCTGTCACACATGCACGCTTTTGGCACTCAACGACAAAAAGGTTAGCCATCACTGTTGTGGATACTTTTCTTCATATTTCATCAATCAATAAAAAGATATTTATTCAAAACTCTGTAACTGGCTAACAAATACAAGCATATCATTTTGCAAAAGCAATACATGAAACCAAGAGAAAATGCAGAAATGTGGGTGCATTTAAAGAGATTTCCAAGTGGACTAAATTATACAGGTCAGCTGCTAAACAGACTCTAGCTCTAAATATGGCTTCAGCTACAATTGGAGCCTATACACATTGAAGGCTGATAATTTTTCTCTAAACTAAAATTGTTATACAGTTTTTAATAACATGTGAAATTAAATCTAGGATAAGGAAACAGTTTCCCTGGTTTTAGAAATATTTATGATTTTATTATATTTCTATTGTTTTTAGGGTTCTTTCTCAACACATTCTTTATTCTAATGCTGAATTATTTCAGAATGCAATGTGGAATATGATGCACCAAATAGAAGGTTAGAATAAAAAGAAGGTAAAGTCAAGCTTAGACCCAGGCTCAGCTATGAAAACCTGCTGAATCATTTCAGACCAATCACCTCCTTCAGTTCTATCTACATCAGTGGTTCCCAAACTTGGCAACTTTAAGACTTGTGGACTTCAACTCCCAGAATTCTCCAGCCAGCTGGCTGGAGAATTCTGGGAGTTGNATACATACATACATACATACATACATACATACATACATACATACATATCTTTGTTCATTCCAAACCAGGTGAGGACAGAGATGCACCTATATTGCAAAAGTATATCAGTATTTGGGATGGTAAAACGTTCTTTTAGTCTTCCAGTTTGGCTGAGATTTGTTAATATGCAAGCCAATAATTTTGGCAGCATCAAATGCCCATGTGCACTAGAAAGCTCATCCCTCTCTTCTAATATAAAGATAGATTTATATGATTATTAAAAAAAACTTTTTGAGAACCAGTTTGGTAGAGTAGTTAAGGCATCATGCTAGAAACTGTAAGACTGTGAATTCTATTCCACCTTAGACACAAAGCCAGGTGGGTGCCCTTGGGCCAGTCACTTTCCCTAGCTCTAGAAAGGAGACAATGGCAAACCATTTCTGGGGGAAAATATTGCCAAGAAAACTGGAAGGATATGTCCAGGCAATCCCTAATAATTTGATACAATTGGGAGAAAACACTTCTAGCCTTCAATACCTGCAATTCTTATGGGGGGAAAAACACAGTTAAGATTATTGTATCTTGTACAATATTTGTAAAATAAAATTGGATTTTTTTTCCATTCTTTAGATTTTGGATCAACTCAGGAAGATGGGAAGGAAACCTGATGTACCCCCAAAAATGATTTCACAAATTAAGTCATTTACTGAATGTGTTTAATTTTAACAACCAAAAAATTCTAACAGACTAACAATGCACATAAGTTAAAATTTAATTATCACTTAGTGATAACAAAGATCAAGTTGATTTACATGGAAAAAGAACATTTACAATATGGTAATCCTCATTCACATTGTTGATACCGCAATAACACCATTTTTTTTAGTTTTCTTTTACTTCACAAAAAGGCGGAAAATTGTGCTTTGTTAAGAGGCACTACAAGAAAAAATTCTTTTTCCAAATAGATATAATATGATGAATATTGAATAAATAGACATATATGCATTGTAATTCGCTAAAGTTCTGGCAAGACCACAGGCGAAAATGCCCACAGATTCACTTAAAAGAATCACTGCAAAATTGACAGTGAAATTTAAAATAAAAAGGCAAGATTCAGCATTGAAAAAAATACCTACTAAATTTTTGGTTGAAGTGTTGTAGTTTAAAAAAAAAAACGCCAATGCTGATGCCGTCAAAGAGATGAATAACCTTATGAGAGATTGACCAATATTACATATAAGTACTGATTTCAGCAAGAGTGTTTCAGAGAAGAAACTGAAAAGATAATTTGAAGGAAAACATAAACCAGCGCCTTCGGAAATGTTGATTAAAGCTGCAGCATACTACAGAAATAAAGTATGAAGAGTTAGCAAGCCAACACTTTTTAAGGATACAGAAAATGGGCACAGCTACAGATTGGTTGATGTCAAATACTGATTTTGGAGAAGCCCCTTTAGAAACTTTTAGAGGTTACTGAGCAGCTAAAATTAGCTTGTATTGCAACATGTCGTCATCTCCCTGTTACATTGTTAATGCTTTGAGTAATATCTATACAGAGGTTCGTTTGAATGACTGTCTTTTATACCTTTCAAATATATAAATAGTATTAACAGTTATATATTACAATGCCTGTGCAAGAACATAAAATAGCTTTCCAAGTGATATTGCATGAGGTCTTTGTTAAAAGTTACAAAGCACATGTCAAGAAGGAAGTTAGAAGCCTGCAAAGCCACCTAGACCCCTTAGAAAGTCATACTACCCTTTCAAAAATAGAATGTGGACAAGGAACTGAAGACTGCTCGTATCAGAACCATGGCTTCAAAAAATTGGTTGGAAACTATAGTAGATTGCAGCTTTAATGCTTATACTATTGAAGAGTCAGTCAGCATTAGTTCTGCTTTATGTAATGGAATTGCTATGCTAGGTCACTGGGAAAAGGTTTCAGTTAAGGAGTCAAGGAAGTGACTGAAAACTGAAAAACTGCTGGCCTTTTTTCTCACTGCCTAGAAGTGCAGCAAGTTTAGAACATTTGTTCCCACAAACTTTGCCACGCACTACATGAAAAGCATACCTTGGGAGACTGCTGGCTGAAAGTTTTGCCTTACTGAGATAATGAGCCTTATACGCAAAGCTCCAAATGTCGTACAGCCATAATAAAACAAAAACGAAAGGAGGTACGAAAGGAAATTCAGCGCTGGAGAACTAACAGACTCTGACTGACTAATAATGTCAAACGTGCCCAAAATAACGGTGATTCGCTTTTTTTTTTTTTAAAAAAAAGAATCATTCATAAAAACTTTGTTGAAAAGCAACATCAACATATATAAACAACAATTTTCCTAACATCAATATCAGACAAAAAACTAAAGGAGCAAGGGAGGAACTGCAGCTGCACAAGTCTCACTGAAATTAATAAAAAGTGGTGCAACAACAATGTAGATGATTTGCGCATTCGAAAAACAATACCACTATAAACTGTGGCTCAATATAAAAATCCACACAATAAATCTTGTAAAGCAACTGCTCATGAAGACTTCATTAAGAGACAAGTCTACTGTGCATCGAACTTTCACTGAAAAGTCCATGAAAACCCATCTGTTTGCTACAGAAATAATATAGAACAAAACATGCTCTGTGAATTTAAATGTGCATTGTGTACTAAAGTTTGTTTAGAAGTTACTTGGCTTAAAATTATTTTTAAGGTGCCCTGATTTTGTCCCTCATCTTCTCACTCCCTGTTTTATTATTTCTGGCAGTGTTGATTTAGGATTTTTTTTTTTTTAAATGCATACCTCAAAAAATTACCCCTCAAGCTGCCAAAGTGGAAGCCATACTAATAATTTAAAAAATCAGGGATAAACATAGAAAATAAATAGATATTCAAAACAGTAACCACACCCTGAGAGCAGGCAGCAATTTATCTAAAAGCCAAAGCGACTCATTGTGAAGTGGTTTATATAAACAAGACTCATCTTTTAACGAGCTGATTTCACAGTCTATACTTTCTGATTGTAAAGTTTAGTTACATCCCATGCAGATTTCATATATATGTATATATATATATGTATGTGTGTGTGTATGTATGTATGTACGTATGTATGTAAGTGGATTATATATATATAATCCACTTACATATGGTGCATATTATATACACACCACACATCTGCACACTGTTATTGTTTCCTTCATAAGTTGTTTCTTCCTGTAACTTGCTTACTAGAGGATCCTTTCTTAAGTGCAAGATTAATAATGATGTAATCCTATGTGAATTACAATTAACTGTCTCAATAAAACATAAAAAGTGTAACACTCAAGTGCCTGTTACAAGGGAATGTCTGATTGAGCTATGCAAAATAATTGTTCAATTTGCACATATTCTTTGCACACTGGAAAATTCCAAAACACTTTTTTTTTTTCTGAAAGAAGCAAAAAAAAAAAAAATATTGGAACCATGTATTGCTTTGCCTGTGATATTTTCACATTATCTCTGCTCAGTCTCTGAAGTAGTTGCTTTGTTTTTTTCTGAATTCTCTTCTTCAGTTTCCACTTTGTACATTTCCTCGGAACCCTCCTCACTGTCATTCTCCTCTGACTCAGTCAGCAGCTCCTCATCTTTATACTCTGCCACATCCACCACGGTGCCCAAATGCTCTTTTAGTTTCCCATGATGCTTTACGTGGTAACGCTGGTTCTGGAAGAATTTGATGATGGTGTGCTTGGGCAGATCCAACTGGGCAGACAAAGTGTGGATGGCCTCCTGGTCTGGATAAAGGCCAACGTCATGGATGAAACTCTGAAGGATACCCAAAGCCTCTAATGAAATCTTAGTACGGGATCTTGGCTTTTTTGTAGATGCATCTTCTGCAGATGGGGGTGGAGCCTCTTCTCTTGGTGGGGAGTTTTCCTTTGCTGGTTGAGATTGCTGTCTATGAAGCACCTGCAAAACAGATTTATATATTTAATAAAAAATATGTTCACATAAATCTAGCTCATTGTTAATCAAATTAGTATCTTATCCCTGGTAGTCAAATATTTATATGTAAAAAAGAGCACATTTTATCGGTTTCACACACAGGGCAATATGAGCAGAGAATTGAAAGAAATTTGTTAGGCTGATGAAATGAAGACTTACTACTTCTGATTTACGGCTCAAGTACATTCACTAAAACACATGGGATAAGAAAAATGAAGCCTTGAGTCAGAAGCAAAAGCATATTCAAAAAATAAGAAATTTTATCCCTGCTCTGCTTGGTCAGAGGAGGCCATAATGTTTTTAAAAATTAAATCTAAAGCTAGATTTTGGTTCTAGAGAAGGATCTTTGGCATTGAGCTTAAAATCCTAGGATAGTTTTGGTTCTAGAGAAGGATCTTTGGCATTGAGCTTAAAATCCTAGGATAGTTTTGGTTCTAGAGAAGGATCTTTGGCATTGAGCTTAAAATCCTAGGATAGTTTTGGTTCTAGAGAAGGATCTTTGGCATTGAGCTTAAAATCCTAGGATAGTTTTGGTTCTAGAGAAGGATCTTTGGCATTGAGCTTAAAATCCTAGGATAGTTTTGGTTCTAGAGAAGGATCTTTGGCATTGAGCTTAAAATCCTAGGATAGTTTTGGTTCTAGAGAAGGATC